GCATCCTTATGAGTAGCAGTGGGAGTCAGTACCTATTGAGCAGTCATGTGAGTCCCTCGAGAACTCCACAGAGTACAATGCCAAGCTCGACCAGGCTCTCACTCTCTTAGCCTCCCAGGCAACCCGAAGGAACAATATTGAGTACATAATCGAGAACCTTGTGGAGCGCGTGCAAGCCTTAGAGGATCGAGTTAACAATTTCACTCTCGAGCCTACCGCTCAAGGCGGATCTACACATAGGAATGAACCTCGGGAGGCTGCTTTTCATTCGATGAAAAACTCGACCTCATCCTTGCTCGCATGTCTGCCCAATCCACTCGAGATGAGAAGATTGAGCTCGGATGTGCTCGACTGAGCACGCAAATGGAGATTCTTACGGCACATACCGACTCAATCGAGGCACAAGTCGACGACCCACACTTTAGGCTTGATACTCAAGCCCGTGTGTTGAAGCCAATGTGTGAGGCCGAAGAGGAGGGTGATGAACTCCAGCAAGACACTGATGATATCTTAGAGGATGAGATTCATGGGGTTGATCTCCAAGTCCCTCCTCCCACCACTAACTTGGAGCATTCACCTTCGGAGCCGTCATATTATGACACCAAGTGGGCCAGATGGTACTCGACTTGCTCCACTGATGCACTTATTATTTCAGAGGTTGATGACAGAGCTCGTGTGGGAAAAGCTCTGCGTTTAGAATTGGAGATAGCTCGTGCCCGAACCCATTTCATACAAAACATCGCCACCCGGATCCACTATAGCCGCCTTCTTGCCACATTGCATGTACTACCGCTTCTTGAAAATATGAACGTGTGGCACGACCGTTACTTCTTCCTAGACCCTGGTTGCTTCCCTCACAGGTTTCGTCAAGCTAATGACGTTAAACAAGCGCTTCTTGGGAGGCAACCCAAGTGATTTATTGCTTTCTAGGATTTTCTTTATGCCTTTTATTTTATTTTTGAATGATGGGAGTTTGGAGTTTTGTGTTTCTCTCGGCAGGTACTATTTGTGAGCTCGAGCAGGAGGAGTATCGAGGTTTTGGGCTGAGCATAGGCGAGCAGCTTGCACGTGGATGCTTACTCTCCTCGAGGCATTCCGGTTTGCACACCCTTTTCTATTTTCTCTTTTTGAGTTCTCTTTCTCTCGTCTTTCTTTTGAGTCTGTGTCTTGTGATAGCTGCTAGTTTGGTTCATTATATGAAGTTGTTTGGTCCTAGTATTTGACTTCCTGTTTTGAGTTGAAGCAATGAGGTCATTGCCTCATTCTAGGTGTAGGGGAGTTTATTTGGATTTTTTCATGCTTATGTGGTGGACCGGTCTAGTTCTAGGACTTTGTTTTGTTGAGCATGTGGTATTGGTAAATTATAAGTTGTGTTGATGAATGTTTGATGAAATTGGAAAGTTGTGATAACGAACGTGTCGATCATTGCCTCGATATTTTCTTGATGACTTTGAGTGATATCTATCTGCCTTGTGAGGTTTTGATCCTTGCTTTTCTTTCTTGTGAGATATTGGTCATATTCTTGAATGATTAATTAGAACTTGCTTTGAGTTTGTTTGAAAGGATTCGATTAGAGTTTGAAATTGCGAATATGATTGAGGCGTTTTGTTTGATAAGCTCTCTTTAGCCTTGTTCTTTGATCCTAAACGTTATTTTTCCTAGTAGCCCATTTGAGCTTTGAGCCTTTTTCTTGTCAGCCGTACATGATATTTATTTTGTTGACTGATTTGGTGATGATTGGTGAAAATAGTGTTGTTTTTGAATGAGGTGAATTGGAGTGCATTTTATTTGCTTGACCAGTTAAAA